ATCCAGTTACATTGGGAACGATTCCTGTATAATCACCGGTAATTGGACAAGGAGTTGAAATGTAACGATTTACCTGGAAAACAAGAAATGTTCAAATTTAGAATCAAATTTAAAATGAAATCAATTTATTTCATTTCTTAATTAACTTACGTCCTTGGGTTATCCAATTGTTGATGTAAAATGTTGATCATCACATAAATGAGCCAATAAATTAGGACTTGATTTGGCACCGAATTGAAACTCAAGTGTATTAGCTGATCGTCTTTTCATCCAAACACAAGTGTAAAATGATTCACCGCTATTTAAATGATTAATGGAAAGGTTTGTAAGTAAAACATTCAAATCAAAATGAAAATCAACAATTTCACATTTACTTTTACCATTTTTCTGGTTCATTCAAACCGAAAAAACAAATCATTTTTGGCAAATTGTTGGTAAACTGAAATGAAATTGTTGATCAATCAGCTGAAGCATTGGATTCATTGACTTACCATTGAGTTGAACTGTGAACAATGAATCTATCATTTGGTGTGTTTGATTGTCTCATTATACATTTTGATGTTAATGTCCTGTAGTTGTTGACCACATCTTTAAACTTGAATTGATTTCCATCGATTCGACTTCGATCCCATTTTCCTTGAGTCCAATCAGGAAATCGACATTTGATGCTCTCAGTAATTGGATATCGAGTCATTATTTTATCACCAATTGCTGTTGATTGACAATAAACAAGAGTTAAGTTAATTAGCTTTGATCAATTTACTCTTTCAATTATAAATGGCTTCAAGTCATTCAACTAACGTGTAAGTGTAAATGAATGAAATGCACCAATTCAAAGTCATGTTTAATTAACAGAACTTGAGATTGTTTAGCAAACTCTTGACAATTTACTAATTGACAAATAACTGACCATAAGTATCTCATAATTATTAATCAAATAAACAAATAACTTACTTGGAGTCAATGTTAATGTTTCATATCCAATCCTTGCATTAACGAGATTGGTTGAGCAAGTTGAATCAGCTGAGAGTGAGACATAAATTTGTCCGTTGGTTGAGTTTTCCCGAAACATCTAAAAATAAAACAAATGGTTTTATAATTAGTTAACAGTGTTAATTGTGAATTATTTTGTGCTTTAAAATATTTTTATTTGTCAAAGATCAAGATTTGATCTAAAGTGACTCTAATTAATTTATGGTTAATCAATCATTTATATCCAGTCTATAACAACAACGAAAAGGGAAAGCCTTTTGTGCTTTTGTGTCTCCTTATGAACAGCTTATTGTCATCATTCAATAAAACTTTCACTATCAGACTCAACCAGAATATATTGTATCATCAAAAAAGTTCA